ATCACAAATACGGTGAATGCTCCTGCTGAATGCCATCCAATGAAAAGGCAGGCTCGTAAAAACATTATACTGTGTCCTCATCCATAGTACCATTTCTGGCTCTTCCTCAAAGTCAATATGACCATGAAAGATAGATGTGTTGAATCAATTTAGGATATCAAGGCAGCCATTACAACACAAGTAAGGATACTCACAAAGAAGGACTCCCAGGTCTGCTTCAGAAAGTGACAAAAATAGGATGAGTGTGTTCAAAGTGAGGGAGAGTCTTTTGAGGTGGATTAATGGCTATATCTTTAACTGTAATAAAAACCATTTTTAAAATTCACTGTATTTTTTGATCATACTGTATAAGTGTCTGAACAGGGCTGCTTTGTTTTGCCCACAGAGGACAGAGAGTAGGAGCTGAGTTGGAGGCTTTTCCAGTATCACAAAGGGAGTGAAAACAAGTGCCTCATCCAGACTAATGTCAACTGGGAGGACAAAGACGCTCACAGGGAGAAACAATTAGTATGAGGATTAATATCCTAGTGAACCACTGACGGCTATGAAGCAGCAGTCACTGAATTCTCTTAATGAAACGGGACCTTTAACAAGATGGGAAGATAGTGGGACAAACTGGTCAGTGGAAAAATTTAGTCAGACTTTCTGAGGTTGAGGTATCACTGCAGTACCCTTAGTGAGATAGCCTTTCCCAGTGCTCTGTCTGTCCATCTCTCCTGGCCTCCTCGTCCCCACACCTCGTTACTGCCTTAGAGGGGGCAGTATAGGGCCCACCTCACCTTTATGTATTTGACCTGTACATACTAAAAAGCTGGGAAATGTGAGTTCAATGAGCCTATGAATCTCCTATCTTCACAGGATGTAATTTCTCACATGGTACAGGTCCAGATACATTGAAGGTAGTGACAAAAGCCTTTAGCACACTGAAAGGCTACTGGATAACTATGAAGGCTGAATTCTTGTTTCCCTGTTGCTCATGTAACTGCTTAATGACACAGGTGTGCAACAGGAACAGAATTCACTCATCAGTCACTACTATGTGAGGAAGGCAGGTAAGCCCCGAATCACATTAAAACACCTACAACCTGTTAACCTCAAACAGTCCATAAGGAACCTTTACCATTTCCCTGCAACTGTGTCTGTTGCAGTCTTCAAGGAGCCAGGGACACCTTGAAGATAAAGAGAAAAGTCTTTTGGAAGATCCTATGTTGGGAATGGAATAATGCTTCCTAGCATTTTAAAATGCCTTACACTATTGAAAGAAATTATCCATTATCTTGAAGTGTGCACTTGACTGAGTCTGTACTTACAGAAGCATTTGGGAAATTTTAAAACATCCTTTTCTTTTAAAAAGAAAATGGAACAAGGTCAGTGAAATAATGTGGTACACGAATGCAATATTAGGTTTTAGACTAGAAATGCCAAAGAATGGTTCACATGTGGTAATAGAAATGCTCTCTCTCAAGCTTTCAAAGTTACTAGACAAAACAACACATGTACAAGTGGGGTGGGAGATAGATGTTCCATTTAATACCTAGCCACACACTTTACAGTTTGTTTCTTCTTAAATGCAGAGACACAGTCCTCAAAATCAGTTCAAAACTGGGTAAGAAGAAATGACCTAAGAATTAATTAAATAGGAGACTAAAGTAAACAAAACAAAAATTATCATATCAAAATAAAAGCCAAGAAACACAAATTAGGCTTCAAAAGACCTACGAGAAACTCATAAAAGTTATAATATGCACTTACCTGGTTTTTATTCTTTCATGATTTAATTTCTAATTTTATTCACTACCATCTGATAATTGCATAAAACACTTATTCTAACCATGGACAATTTAAACTATTTTAATTTTCAAGGCCATGAGACAAAGGAACCTATTTTTTGCCTAAGGGAATTTTTTAAAACAAAAACTAAAGCTTAATCTTTCATGTTTTAAAGCCAAGACTGTGTAAAATCATTTATAATAATGCTGTAGGGAGGCTTTTTCTGGGTGTGCAGAATTGAAAAGATAAATTTACAATTATTAAAAAAATTAATAATTTGGTGGATTAAATTGTCCCTTTCCTTTCTAGATGAATTTGTCTGATGTTTAAGAGACATATTTAAGAACAGGGAAACCAAAGGCCTGTGAGGAACGAGATGAGGCTTCCATGTGTTTCACAGTGTGACTAGGCTTGCTCATGTTACCAACAGTAAGCCCAGTTTATTATTATTTATAAAATAAATAATGGCACTGGCTGTGAGAATGGCTTCTGACTTTTTATTTCATAAGGAATTGATCTGATGAAGTAAAGAGTCATGAATTCTACCAATGATATTTTGTGTGACTTTGAAAAAGCCCCTGATGGAAATTAGACAAATAATAAATTTACTTTTACTTAAACAGCAAAGGTTTTTAGTTACACTTAAGAAAACTAATTGAAATATAGTTTTAAATTGTTTCTGCTGCAACATGTCAGGATTCTAATGAAACACTTTTAGCCATTATGCAAAGCATTTCCAACAGAGAAGAGAAAAATCACTTTCTATGATACCTGAGGTAGAAGAACTGATTGAAGGGCAAAAATGCCTCTCTGAGAGTAAAAGGAAGAACAAGTTGCTAGTGATGGTTGGTTTTTGACTAGAGCAAGAAGAAGGAAAATATATCTCCAAACAAATTTTCTCTTTCATTGTGGTCTCAGAAAAACAAAAAGCAACCCAAAAACCAGAATAGTCAAATACATTTAACATTCCCTCTGGCAAACACTCAAGCCATCCTCCTAGGCTGAGTACCTTACATTTTAAGACGGTGGCAACAAATTTGTGATTCTTATCATACTGGATGGAATGGCTGTGAGCCCACCGACATAGACCTTACCTTTCACTTCTCTCTCTCTTCCCTCTGCGCAGCACCACTGTTTCCTTGTTAGATTACCACTGTGCCAAGCTCCCTCCTGCCTCACTGCTTTACATCTGCTCTGTCCTCTGTCTGAAGACTCCTTATAGCTTCCTTCACTCAATTTGGATTTTTGCTCAAATGTCACTTTTTGAGAGAATGATCATATCCTTTAACCATTCTCCTCTCCACTTTCTGTCTGAGCATCTTAATAGCCTTATCTACCACATATGTCACACTTATCTCCTTATCCTCTGAATTCTCCTGAGAGACTGAAAGACTCAAGAGAGAAGGTAGTATCTTGTCCTGTTCACTCCCATCTCCCAGCACCAGGATAGTGCCTGACGCTGTACAAGCACCCTATAGATATTATTTATTGAATTACATTACCTGCATGGATCAGCTCCATTTGCTTGTGTACTGGCTTCTTAAACTGACAAGTCTTCTGACTAAAAATACAATAAAATTCATGCACTATACTTTGTGTTATTTTAATGTAATTATTTCATAGTCCTCAAATAGGAGAAAATATCCTATTTAAAAAGTACTTTGGAATTTGATTTATAAAACAGATGAATCAGGTCACATTTTTAGTTTGTTTTTAAGGAAAATCACTTATTTTTATAAGAGGAAAATTAATCATGTTAAAATGTTTATTTCTCAAAAGGCCCTATTAAAAGATTTATTTAAATATTTTGCATTAAAGCTACAAGTTAATTTCTTTTTTGGTACCAGGAATCGAACTCGGGACCTTGCACTTTCAAGGCAGGCAGCAGAACCACTGAGCTAAATCCCTGGCCCTATAGGTTAATTTCTTGAAAAAACTAACTTAAAGTTGATTTTTTTCAGGAATACTGTGTATTGTATATAATGGGACCCATGCATAGTAATGGTAAATTTAAAAAATATTTTAGAGAAGTCTTTTTACATACGTGCTGTAGCCATGAGATTTCACACAATCCACCAGACACTTCTAAGTATCTCTTGGGTTTCCCACTCCAAACTACACTCAGGGTGAAGTGTTTTAGATATACAATGTTCTATAAAGAGACTCAGGGCTGAGTGGTTTGGGTTTAAGGAGCATGTCTCATTGCTCCCTGAAGTCACAAGTCTTCAGAAAGCTGATCTGTAGTGTGCAGTAGCTTTTATTCTGTATTTTTCAGAAAGAAAACTCTACAGTATTACATTCAGTTTGTCAGCACTTAGCTAACCATTTGACCACAGCTGATAGGGGGTCATGGGATTTTCCAAGTTAGAAGGAAACTTGGAGATTGTCCAGGCTAACTCCTTCATGTAACAGAGAAGAAGATGAGATCACTTATCAAAGTCTAGAAAAGTCAAAGAAGAAAAGCCAGTGAAACATTCTGCTTTTTTCAAAAAAGAAAACAAATCATAGTATCTAAGCAACCATATTATATCTGACTTGTATGAAAAGAAAAATGGTAACTGCTTTTGAATAAGACTACAAATTTCTGAGGAAGAAAAAGTTTGAATTACACAGTCCAGAAGCTGTCCATAAATGAACAACAAAGATGTTGCTAATCATGGATTTTAAATCAAATGTCGAGGATGGACCTGGTGTGAAACCCAGCACTGGAATGATTAGTGATTTTGAGATTTTAACATTCTTCTTTTTGCGGGGGAGAGGGGAAGATAGGGCAAAAAAAAGCAGGACTAAAGAGACTGACACTCTTCACAGTGACAGACAACTTAAGGAGGACTGAAGGGACAATGTGGAGATTTTTTTGGGGGGGTGGGTACCGGGGATCGAACTTGGTTGGGACTGTGCACTTGCGAGGCAGGTGATGGAAGCAATGAGCTAAATCCCCGGCTCGACAATGTGGAGTTTTTAAAAAACAAAGTCAATATGTGAGAATCACTAGCACAATGGATTCCCTCTCTGAAAACTTTTCTCATTTTATCTTTAGAAAATAAAACACATTCACATTTTGTTTCTTTAGAAAACTAAGAAATATAATAATCCAGATGCCCACTGCAAGTTGCCTGGCTCTGTGGTTGGGTACACCCAACCTCACCTTTTGCATGTGGGTGTGTGCAGATCCACACATTGTGTCACTCTTGCTGCATCATCAGCAGGTAAGAGCAACACCTACTCACCGGGACTTGTGAGGGCTCCCAGGGCGCTGCTTGTGGTAGAGAGAGGGTTTGCATTGGTGCTGGTGGCTGAGGTCTGGGCTGCAGCTGCAGCAGCAGCCAGTGTTGCCAGATTCTGTAATTGTAAAGCATTCATGCCTGTGGAGGGAAGAGAATCATAAAATTAGCAATAGGTCCAACATTTCCAGTTTTCAAAGAAGAATAGGCTCACAGAATCATGAAGGGAGATGATAAGAACAGAAGACAAGACCCCTTGCCCGTGCTTGGGATATGCTCACTGAGAGCTGTCTCAAAGCTGGGCTATACACCTAGATAGGAGCTGTTTCTTCTCATAGAACATCTTCTCATAGCTCCATCTTCTACTGCTAGAGTAGACTAAGAAAGAGCATCTACATTCCACCCAATAATTCTCAGCAGAGTCAATTCACTTGGTGCTGCCTGGCCTACCCAAAGACTCTTCCAGCTGCTCCTCTCCATGCTGTAAAGGGAATCAGAAAAGACAAGAGATTGCTCTGTACTGACAGGCCACAGTGGGGCTTTGTGACCTGGTGATTTCTATGATGTAGTTGACAAGAAATGTTGAGACTTGGGGTTGGACAACCTGAGGAAGAGGGTAATCCCTAAATTCTATTTTTTTTTTTTTTGGTACCAGGGATTGAACTTGCAAGCAGACTTATGCTTGTGAGGTAGGTGGTGGAACCACTGAGCTAAATCCCTGGGCCAATCCCTAAATTCTTGACAAGTACACACATAAGGTATTACAGAGGAAATTACAGATTATCCTTGGAAATGGAACAGATACAAATTTTAATCCTGTTTCTACCAGTCCACGCACGTCACTCAATCTCTTCATTTCTTGATCAATGAGTGGTCATAATACCTGTACCTGATCTTCGAGAGCTGTTGTGTAAATAAGGTAAAGAATAGAAATTACTCTGGCATAATGTAAGTACATAATGAATGTCAGCTCTTACTACTGATGTTGAACTTCTCTCTTCATATCTGAAATGTAAACTTAAATGTGTCTGCATTAGGAACTAAGTATGTGATGAATAAAAGAATGAATAAAATGGTAGTATGTTAATAGCTTTATTGGTAAAATATTTGTATTTGCATTTTAAAGGTACTAGTATTTCAAAGCTGGTCTATTTTTCACTACAATGAATTTCTGACTATTAAAAATTTAGCAAAAATACGACAGATGGGGCCAGGGATTTAGCACAGTGGCGCCGCCATCTGCCTTGCAAGTGCAAGGTCCCAAGTTCAATCCCTGGTACCAAAAAAAGAGAGAGAGAGAGATGAACATGAAGGAACATGCAGGTGGGCTCAGATGAGAGATCTGAGGCAGTGAGGTTCCAGGCCCCATCCATCCAGGCCCTAAGGTTGGGCCTGGAATATGTGCTGCATGTACTTTCGAAATCTTTCTTCCTCCCCTTCTCTTTCTTATACCATAGGAATAGTCAAAGTATTTTCCATGGTTCACTTCACAGTAAAGAGAACACATATGCGAGAAGCAGGAAACAATGCTTCTCTCCTTATATAGAAGAATTCTACACAGAAAAATACTGGAGTGAAATAATAGGCTTAATTTAACTTTCCTCTCATGCTTCAAATCCAGATAGTTAATATATTTCCATTGAAAAGCTTAATCTGCTTTAGGGAGAGTGGTTTGCTAACTCTTTCCATATGTGTTTGGGGAGGTAGGTGGAGGGGTATGTTCTAGCAGCATACCCAAGCTAGCCCCAGCCACTGGCGTGGGGCCCTCAGAGCCTGGCTGCTGAGTTCTGCAGAATATTTCTCCCACTCCTCTGTCCTGGTCTTTGCTATCAGGGCTTATTTCTACTCAGAAAAGTTTCTGATGTCTCTCTGAAAAATGTGTCCTCATTTTGTTCAAAATGATACTCTATCTTCTTTCAGGAAACATCTACACTTGTTGGCTTATGGTGAAATCCACTTATTTGGTGGGGATGATTAGAACCAGGGCACAAATATTTATTGAATCTGGTGAAGTTCTGTAAGAAAAGTGTAGACTTCCTGCAACCCTGCTTTGTCAACCAAATGCAACTGGGAACAAAGGTCTCCCTTGTTCCCTCTGATAAAATAGTGATCAAACAGTGTCATATATATTTATGAAATTGTGGGCATTAAACATATTGTTCTTTTCAGTTTTACTTCAGCAAAATGGAAATGGAAGGGATATGGGAGCTGCCTAGATTTTTATTTTTTTTGGTACCAGGGATCGAACTCAGGTCCTTGCTCTTGCGCAGCAGGTGGCAAAACCACTGAGCTAAATCCCCGGCCCCAGGAGCTGCTTAGATTAAGTGCAAACCACTTGAACCCATCAAAGGGCTCTACTTCCTGACAGCAACACAAATGCACTTCACAGCTGAATGTGACAATAGTACCTGGGCTGTGAGATATCTTGTGAGAAGTGGAGGCATACTTGTATGGATCTATTTGTCCCCTCTTGTGACTAATGTTCCCTCTAATGTTTTAATGATGTAAACCAGATGATTAGGCTACATCACCAACAGACTGTAGGGCATATAAAAAGAGGATGCAGCACTGAAATTAAAACCTATATCATGCACCTGTCACCAGTCAATCACAGAGTCATTATTCTAGTCTGTGACTAGAGGTCCTCTCTAGGTGGGAGGTACAGTATTGGAATCGCGGAGCAAGAAGGAGCTGCATCTGTGGCTGGGTTAAACCCATCCAGTTGGGTTGGAGGCATCATGTTGTTGGCCAAGGCCTCACAGCACTGGCACCAAACCCTTCTAGGTCTGGGGCCAATGTGTTCTGTTATACTCACAGCCTCCCTCTGAAGACAGCTCAGTATACACTTAACAGGTGTACTTTCTGCATGGTATCCACTAACTTCCTTATCTGCGTAGAACTCTCATTCTACTTTGACACTATTTATATGTACTTCTTACCCTCATTACTAAATACTAAGTTTATGGCAGAAAAAGATTTTTATTTTACTGTTTTGAGTCCACCTAAATATACACACATGAATATATGGTAGATGATGGATATCTTGGTATAAGATGAATAAATAGGGTAACAGTACAAATTTTAATACAATGCTATAGTTTTGTCTATAGAGCCAAACAAGGTTTTAGTTTTTTTACTTTTTGTAAGTTTTTGGGTATAGCATCAAATATTGACTGTTTTTCCTGAATTATTAATCTACAATATACAGACATTCCTCATTTAAAGATTAAGTTCATGTGACTAGGTCATTGATGAGCAATTATATATAGCATGTACATTATAATATTAGAACAAAGAAATGGTCAAAGGAAACTTCAAATTGATGACTTTGCTTTTATTTGTATAATTCTTTTAGTACTGTAATGTATAACAACATAAAACTACAGTACTGTACGGTACAATCAGCAAAATTACAGTACTATATAAACAAGGCATATTGTACCAGAAAAAGACATTGAGGCTCTATAAACAAGTTGTACAGAACTGTACCAAAAAAAAAAAAAAGAAAAAAAAAGGGCGGGTCGTAAATCTGAGTGGTGGGTATTAAGTCTGAACAGCGAGAGCCTCAGATGTATGTCTGAACAGTCATTAAGCAGGTGGGCTGTTAAATGAAGAATATCTGTAAATACCTATTAGAACCATATTTATTCCTTACCTCACCCACTGACATTCATTAAAGGCCCTGGAGCCAAGCCAACAACAATGTAAACTTCAGCATGCTCCCTGCATTTGCCCAAGAGTGGTCTTTAACTTCTAGTACACTATGAGCAGATGCAAGTTGCCAGGTGAGGCATTGTAGTCCACCATGACCAAACATAAGTCTTGCTTAGTTGAAACACCAGGCTGAAGAGAGAGCATTTTCAGTACTGCTCTCTGCTCTCTTTATGGTGTCTGAAATTCAGGGACTGAATTTGTGCTCCTGTGTTAATGCTAAGAATTGAGTCAACCAGTAACTACTTTGTTACTATGTACCACCATTCAGTAACCTTTGCAAGTATGCCCTACCTCTTACTCTCTAAATCACTTAAGCAGTTCTTTAATTTCTTAATTTGATTTCCTTTTGCATCCATTATCAGAATCCCACATACCACAGATCACTGGTTTCAGTTGCCTCAGTACATTAATGGACTCATGGCTGCTCTTCTCCATGCTGAGCCTGCTACATGCTGGTCCTCCCACCCCCAATTCACTGATGGGATTCACATGGCCTCCAAAGATCCTGAAAATTTATGAAAAAGTGTGTGTGTGTGTGAAATGTGTGTGACATGTGTGTGAACCTCTTTTTTTGGTGACAGCCCCCATCTTAGTCACTTGTTTCGTTGCTGGGACAAAATACCCTACACCCACAACTGTAAGGAGGAGAAGTTTATTTTGGCTCACAGTTTTTAGAAGATTCAGTCCATAGTTGGCTGACTCCAAGGTAGGGACAGCATGGTGGAAGGACCTAAGTGGAGCAAAGCTGCTCATTCTATGGCAGTCAGGAAGCAGAGAGAAGGGAAGATCTGGGGACAAAAATAAACCCTTTCATGTCACACCCTCAATGACCCAACTCCATCCAGACGCCAACTCCTGACAGCACATTTAGCAACTCAAATGGGTCAATCCACTGATGAGTACAGCACTCCCATGATCTAATCACCTTCCACACACATGAAAATTTTGGGAAACATTTGACATCTAAACCATAACACACCCTAAAAGTTGAACTCCTGACTTATGTAGATAACTGGAAAAAGATACAAGTCCACTGAATGAGAAGCCTGGGGTTGGAACAGTAATTGTGTGATGTGAGGAATCAAGAAATTAGAGCTGAGGAATGATGATGCAGGTAAGAGAAGAAAGAACAAAAAGAAATGACTCCTTCTCCTATTCAGCACAAAGACACATACATACAAGCAGAGGTGGGAGCTTGGAGGCCCCAAAGATCAGCACCTGGGGCCCTAGCAGGACCTGCTCCTCCCCTCAGTCTCACTCCATCTTGGACAAGCAGTGAAGGTGCCTTCTCCCTCTTCCCAGTGTTTTTCTCCCAGGCAGAGGCCTGAAGCCTCCCAAAGAACACTCCTTCATTAGCCCTGGTCTTCTAAATGCTGCTACTGTCTCATGCCCTCTTATATCACAGAAATGACTCTCAGATGAGTGGA